AACTATTATGAACCTAGGCACATGTACAACCCCAATGTAGTTTGCCATTACTGTAATAGGATAGGCCATATTGCTCCCGTTTGTTACACTAGGCATAGGCACTTGTCACAAAATCAAGCACACTACCATCACACACCTAACACCCGAGGACCCAACGTAAATTGGGTACCTAAAACTCATTGATGTGTTTTATAGGTGTGCTTGAAAGCATCAAGTGTACTTTGGTACCTTGATAGCGGATGCTCCAAGCACATGACCGGGGATGCATCCAAGTTTCTCCAAATCAAACCCGCTAAAGGAGGAAACGTAGTTTTTGGAGATAATAGCAAAGGAAAAATTATTGGCATCGGCTCAGTAGGTAAGTCCGAAAACTCCTCTATAGATAATGTCTTGCTTGTCAAAGGTCTGAAACACAATCTCTTGAGCATAAGTCAATTATGTGACAAGGGAAACCGTGTGACCTTCGATTCAAAATCATGCACTGTAGAACGCCTTAGTGACAATAAGGTCATTTTACGTGGTGATAGAATCGATAACATTTATATGGTTAACCTAGACAAATCTCCTTCCGGCTTTGCTAAGTGCCTCATGAGTAAAGAGGAAGACACTTGGCTCTGGCACCGAAGGGTAGCTCATATAAACATGAACCTTTTGAACAAATTGGTTTCACAAGACTTAGTAATTGGCATCCCAAAACTTAAGTTTGAAAAAGACACCATATGTGATGCATGTCAAAAGGGGAAGCAAGTTCGGGCTTCGTTTAAGTCTAAAAACGTTGTTTCAACGTCTAGACCTCTTCAACTTTTACACATGGATCTCTTTGGTCCTTCTAGAACTAAAAGTTTTGGTGGCAATTACTTTGCGTTTGTGATTGTCGATGACTACTCTAGGTTTACATGGACCTTGTTTCTAACTCATAAAAGTGAAGCATTTCATGTTTTCAAAAATTTCTTAAAGAAAGTTCAAAATGAAAAAGAAACAACCATAGTAGCCATAAGAAGCGACCATGGGGGAGAGTTCGAACGAAATCTGTTTTCAGATTTGTGTGACGAACTTGGCATTGATCATAACTTCTCAGCCCCACGTACACCACAACAAAATGGAGTGGTGGAACGTAAAAATAGATGTCTCGAAGAGATGGCTAGAACTATGATCAATGAGGCAAAAATCCCTAAGTACTTTTGGGCGGATGCCGTGAGTACCGCGAGCTACGTGTTAAACCGAGCCGTCATTCGACCGATACTCATGAAAACGCCCTATGAACTATACAAAGGGAGAAAGCCAAACCTCTCCCATCTTCGAGTCTTTGGCTGCAAATGTTTTATTCATAACAACGGCAAAGATAACTTGGGAAAATTTGATGCCAAGTTGGACGAAGGGATTTTTCTTGGTTATTCTCTTCGCAGCAAGGCCTATAGAGTATTTAATAAACGTACTTTAACTATTGAGGAGTCCCCTCATATTGTTTTCTCCGAAGATAACCCTCGCTTGGCGAGAAAGGATATTTGTGATGATCTTGCAGATTCATTAGAGAGAATACACGTTGATGACGATGAGGAGAACACGAGCATTTACACCAACCCGCAACCACAACCTGAGGAAACGCCTCAAGTGATGGTCGAAAATGAAGACCAAGCAGAAGAAGAAGAACAAGAGGAAGCCCAGAAACAAGAGGAAACCGAGCTTCCCATCGCTTGGAGAACGCATAGAAACCATCCACTTGACCAGGTAATCGGCAGCATCAACCGCGGGGTAAGTACTCGTAACTCTCTTAGGGACACCGTAGGACACATGGCCTTTGTTTCTCAAATCGAACCTACAACCATTTCCGAAGCAATAAACGATGAACATTGGACCTTGGCTATGCAAGAGGAGCTAAACCAATTCAAACGGAATGACGTTTGGGAATTGGTGCCAAGGCCCGATGATCGTACGATTATTGGTACGAAATGGGTGTTCCGTAACAAACTTGACGAAAATGGAATCATCACTAGAAACTAAGCTAGGCTCGTAGCAAAAGGCTACAATCAAGAAGAAGGCATTGATTTTGAAGAAACTTATGCACCTGTAGCACGTCTAGAAGCTATTCGTTTACTTCTTGCTTTTGCTTCGTCTATGGATTTCAAACTTTATCAAATGGATGTTAAGAGTGCCTTCCTCAATGGTTTTATTCAAGAGGAAGTGTATGTTGACCAGCCCCCGGGGTTTGAGGACTTTGAGTTTCCCGATCATGTCTTCAAACTCAAGAAAGCGCTCTACGGTCTTAAACAAGCACCACGTGCTTGGTACGAACGTTTGAGTAAATTTCTTTTGGACAGCGGTTTCCAAAGGGGAAAAGTTGACACTACACTTTTTATCAAGAATAAAAACAATATCATCCTTTTGGTTCAAGTTTATGTAGACGACATTATATTCGGTGCTACTAACGAGTCTTTGTGCAAGGAATTCTCAACGCTCATGACTAGCGAATTTGAAATGTCAATGATGGGCGAGCTCACATTCTTTTTGGGACTCCAAGTTAAGCAAATGAAAGATGGAACGTTCATTTGCCAAGCTAAATACTGCAAGGAGCTCCTAAAACG